GCCCGGGAGTGGCCCCTGGGAGCGGCGGAGGCCGAGTGGCCTGGTGCGCGCTTGCGGAACAGCAGGACCTCGGGAGGCGCACGGTTGCGGCCGAGGACCCTCTCAGAGCTGAGGTCTTCTCGCTTATGCTTTTAATCCCCTGGGGGAGGATGGGGCAGGAGAGAGGGGCAGCCCAGATGAGTGGAGCCCACTGGGAACCTGCATTCTTCAAGAATTAACGGATATGGCTGCTAGCGGTCCAGTCACGTTCAGCTGTCACTCCTTCAGATAGGCTGCATTGCCGTCTGCTTGGAAGTGTGTGTTAAAGCTTGCTAGTACTGTACTATAAAAGATCACAATATCTAATCATGAAGTGCGTTTTTGCAAACCGCTAGACTAGATATTTAATGGTGAGCCCCACCAGTGTGGTTCCCACTGAGGTGGAGCTCAGTCTGACAGGGGAGTGGGGGCACTTGGGGCGATGAGACAATAAAAAGAAGATGCCGCGCCTGCCCCGTAAGCATAAGATCCTGACTTTGAGCCCCGGTATGGGGGGGGGGCGGGGAGGGCTGCTGAAGGAATGGAGGATTCCTTAAATGAGTTTTTTGGAATTGAGAAATTAGCCAGGTGGGCTGTAATCCCAGCACTTTGGGAAGCAGAGACAGGAGGACCATAATGTGATTTAGTGAGAGTCCATTTTAAAAAGATTTTAGAGGTGGGGAAGTGTTTCCGGTATAGCTCAGTTCTGAGGAGGTGGGTTCAAACCCCTCCCCCTCGAAAAAGGGATTAACTAGGGAAAGGAAAAGAGAGTTTACCAGGGACATGGGGAGCACGGTCCTAGGTCCCGTGGCCGGGAGCTACAGTGCGATGATGTAAGGTACTCACAACCTTTACAGCTCCTAATAGGAAATGAAATCTGTAGTTCTTCTGCCTTTGTGCTACCTCTGTATCCAATACAGCCTTTCAGTATGTTCATAAGGAATAATGAATGAGTGACAATGGAGGGGACACAGCTTTTAATAGTCTCAGGCTTGGTGGTGTTGGTAGTCAAGGTCCCAGATCCTTCTAAAGAACACTGCAGTTATTTCTGTATGTTACAGTCTCTGGAAGTTGTAGGCTTTTGGTTTTGTTTTTGATGTTTTGAGACAGGGTCTTACTGTGTAGTTTAGGTAGGTCTTGAACTTTCAGCGATCCTCCTGCCTCAGCCTCCCAAGTGCTGGGATATTGGGCATGCATTACCACATGGAGCCAGCATAGGCTTTGGTTCACACTGATTTCCAGCATATAGTATGCATTCATTATGTTGAATGACTAAGCAACAATGAAAAATTCATGTGTCAAATTCCCTATTTTCTGTTGTTAAGATTCTTTGAGAGCTAGAGAGGATGAGGAAGAGTGTGGTGCAACAGTTTCTGAAATCCTCAACTGTGACTCCTTATGGACAGCAGCCCCATCTGTCTGCTCTCGGTTCTTTTTCTCTCAACCTCTTTCACCAGCTTATTGCCCAAAGGGCTTTTTTTGAATAATTCTTTGAGTTTGAATATAACAGTTGAATTGTGGTTGAACATAACACTGTGTACATCTTTCTTTATTGTCTCTTCTTCATAAGAAAAAAATTTTACCCTAGTTTTACTCTTAAGTAGTAGCTTCCAAATACAGGATCCATTTGCTTTGCCTTGTTTTTCGTTTCCTTTCCTTTTCTTTTTAATAGCACTGGAATTTGAACCCAGGGCCTTTGAACTGAGCTTTTTAAAAATTAATTAGTTAATTATTTTTGTGGTGCTGGGGATTAATTCAGGGCCTTCACACTGAATTATATTCTCAGCTCTATTTTTATTATGTTATGTTATTTTTTATTTATTTTTTTGAGACAGGGTCTTGATAAGTTGCCCAGGCTGGGCTCAAACATCTCATTTGCCTGTTTCAGATTCTCAGAGTGCTGGGATCCTCATAATACCCTGGTTGAACACACAATAGGCCCCTTTTTTTTTTTTTTCTTGAAGAAAAGGAATCAATCTCAAAAGCTGGGTGTGCTGGTGCGTGCCTGTAATATGAGCACTCAGGAGGCTGAAGCAGGAGGTTCTCAAATTTGAGGGTAGCCTGGGCTACATAGCAAGACCCCCAAACAGTGTTTCATCCCATTTTCCCAAAAAGCGAACCAAACTAAGGCCCAAGTGACTTAGTTAGGATAGAGTTGGGTCTCGAGTTCTAGAAACTTTTTCCTGGGCTGGGACTTGAACCCACAGCCTCATCTCATGCACACCAGGCAGGCATTCTGCCACTGAACTGCAGCCCCAGCCCCTGGAGACTAAATTTTAGATAATTCGCTGAGATGGTTTCCCTTTTTCTAGGCACTGGTCCTCCATGATAGTTTAGTGAGAAGCCAGTAATTGTATCCTGACCAAATCCTGTCACTTCTCTCCAACCTGCCTTCCAGGGATATTGTAAAGTTTAGAACTTGTAAAGGTGTTTTATTTCCCAGTCCCCCTTGCTTCTGATTTCCTTGCTCTTTCATGCTCAGTGAGCCCCACTCACTCCTGAGTGACCTAATAGCTGGGATGGAGCAGGTTTCCAGGTGTGGTTCTGGCTGGCTTAGTTTTTTATTGTTGTTGTTGCTTTGTTGTTTTTTTTTTTTTCTGGTATCGGGAATCAAATTCAGGTCCTTGCACTTGCAAAGCAGGTGCCAGAACCACTGAGCTAAATCCCCGGTCCTTGTTCTTCTTTTTTTTGGTACCAGGGATTGAACTCGCGACGTTATGCTTGCGAGGCAAGCAGCAGAACCTAAATTCCCGGCCCTTGGTTCGCTTAGGTTTTGCAGAGGTAGGTGCATTCTGCTGGTTGCAGGCTGCCCTTTGTACACATGGTCCCACCCTTGGGTCAGCTGCTGATGGCAGCCTCACTAAGATGTCAGCCAAACCTAGAAACCCTGGCTCTGAGCGTATGAAACCTTGCATTAACAGAGCTAGAAGGATCTTTAGTGGTCATATGTGTGGACCTCTCCTTTTTTAAAATTTAAAGTCACTATGTAGCCCAAGCTCGCCTGCCTCAGCCTCCTCTCTCTTTGCCTATGTTGTGTGCCACCCTACCCAGCCTTTTCTTGTGTTAAAGTAAGTGATGCCCTTCAAGGATTTGGAACTGGACTGAAACCCAGGTCCGCTGAGCTTCTCCCTTTTCATCAGTTGGTTTGTAAAGATGATGAGGGTCTTTATTCCTCTTTAACTCCTGGTAGTAGATGCTTACTGCATATTTTTTGTATGAATGAATACAGGAGTAAACCATCTCCCAGAGTAGTTGTGTGTCAGTTCATTGATCCTCTTGAGGTTGGCATGGGAAGGAAGAGTGGTTGGAGCTGCCATCTGCAGGGGTAGCAAGTTCCACTTTGATGATAATTTAGCTTTGGACATTGCAAAATAGAAGTTTTAGGACCAAATAGTTTACTCATGTCTGCTTGACTTGGCTTGAAAAGCTGTAGTCTTATATAATGTCTACTTTGAGTTTCAGTTTTGCTAATTTTCCTTTATTTTTTGCTTAGTCCTCTGGGGTGACTTTCAAGATGAATTCAACCCTAAAAGCAAGTGAAATTCGAGAGCGATTTATAGATTTCTTCAAAAGAAATGCACATACCTATGTTCACTCATCTGCCACCATCCCATTGGATGACCCCACTCTACTCTTTGCCAATGCCGGCATGAACCAGGTAAGGAGTTGTTCTTTTCCTCTTGACTGTTTGCTCACAAAGGAGACAACAGAGAAGTGATAAAAGCACAGAACCTGCAATCAGGCAGTGCTGGTTCTGTTACTGTATGATCTTGCAGAACTTTATGTCACCAATTTGTTTTTTTCTTCTTTCTTTTTGGTACTGGGGATCAAACTCAAGACCTTGTGCTTGCAAGACAAGTGAGGTGCCAGAGAGCTAAATCCCTATCACGAATCTATTTCTTTATCTGTGAAATGAGGAATAATAATGATGTCTGCTTGTTCATTGCAGTAAGAAGTGATGAGGTAATGCATACAAAAGGTTTATCATAGTATTTGGCACATAGGAAGTACTCAAAACCCCCACCCATGCCTTTGGTGCTGGGAATCCAACCCAGGGCTTTGTGCCACTGAGCTTTATTTTGAGGCCAGCCCTTGCTAAGTTGCTCGAGCTGTCCTTGAACTTGTACTGCTCCTGCCTCATTCTCCTGAATGGTGGGGATTACAGGTGTGTACCACCACAGCCAACATAGTGGAAACATTTTCTACCTTGTATAACATTAACTATAAAATCATGAAAAGTGTTTTCAATTATAGGAGTCCTAGGCCTGCACCTAGAAATGGAGGCAGTAATTTTAAGTAAACTGTTTCAAGGAGATGGGTTTTCTGGAACATTTGAAAGGTTCTGTTGTACTCAGGCATACCTGGACACAAACTTTGTCTTTTTTCACATGAACTGTGCTGTAGGAACCACAGGTTCTGTGTTTTCAGTGCTTATAAGCAGTCTCTCGATAATGGTAACTTAGTCTGCCCGTAGCGCCAGCTTCTGCTCTGTGTCTTTCACATCCAGTAACTCATTTAGGCTCCACTCTGTTACCAACCCTCCTAAGGCACTGAAAGCAGCCTGTGCCTCTATGGCTGGTCACTGTGAGAAGGTGGATTTGAACCATCTCCTTTCTTAAAATATTTATTTAAACCTGTGCAATTCATTTCCATGACTTTTGTGCTGTACTGCCTCTGATTAGATAGATAGTAATAAGGATAGCTTTATTATTTTTCTTTTTTAGCAATGAAAAATGACATGCATTAAGCATTTGTTCTTTTTTTTTTTTTTTTTTTTAATGTACCAGGGATTGAACTCAGGACCTTGCGCTGTGAGGCAAGTGCGGTAGGCATTTTTTCTTTTTTGGGTACTGTGGAAGGTACTAGACATTAAAAAAAAAGTGAGGGCCAGGGATTTTAGTTCAGTGGTACCACCACCTGCCTCACAGCACAAGGTCCAGAGTTCAACCTCTAGTACCAAAAATAAATAAATAAATAAAATATGTTCTTCCAGAGCCGGGGCTTTAGCCCAGTGGTACCGCTGCCTGCCTCGCAAATGCAAGGACCCAAGTTTGAGCTCTAGTACCAAAAAAAAAAAAAAATTCTTCCAGAAGGATGACACACACCTTAAACATTGTAAACTTGTGAAGAAGCATGGGTTTCACACATCAACATTTGGATGCTCAGATTCGGCCGGGCTTCTCCTGCCCAGGGGGTTTCCTGGCAGTGATGGAGGCTGTAAAGGAATGAGGTCCACAAAGAAGCTGCTCCCAAAGACACTGCTTCTGCTTTGGCTCCATTTGGGCCACCTGCTTCTGAATGTCTCTTCTAGGCTCACTAAATCCAAAGCAGTTTTGTGTGTGGTGTGTCCGGCCAGCTTGTGACATTACCTGCAACTCTCTAAAAGTCGAACTCCCTCCCCCATCTTATTTTTTAGTTCAAACCCATCTTCCTGAACACAATTGACCCATCCCACCCTTTGGCAAAGCTGAGCAGAGCTGCCAATACTCAGAAATGCATCCGGGCTGGGGGCAAGCACAATGACCTGGACGACGTGGGCAAAGATGTTTACCACCACACCTTCTTTGAGATGCTGGGCTCTTGGTCCTTTGGAGATTACTTCAAGGTGAGCTCAGCACATGAGAGTTTGGAGTGAATGGATCATTTCCATTAAGGGAACTGGGTTCTAAGTTTGCTTATTTTAAAATACAAAATATTATCTAGAAGATTGAAGAGTGAAGGACGTTGCTGAATTCCAAGGCTTCCAGAAAGTACCAATAACTTTATTGTGTTTGTGCACACTACTGGGGATTGGATCTCAATAGCTCTGATCTATATCCCCAGTCCTCCTTTTATTTTGATAAGGTCTCACTAAGTCGCCCTGGCTGGCTTCGAACTTGCCATCCTCCTGGATCAGCCTCCCTAGTACCTGGGTCTGAGAGCATGTGCCACCAGGCCTGGCAGTAGCTGCAGTTTGGTAATTTCAGCAGTTTAGTTTTCTTAGGTAAATTGATCCTGAATTTGGTTGAATTTATAGTGAAGATACTATAGTTTTAAATTTGTGTTCCCTAGATTTGATCTTTTTCCTTTCCTTTCCTCTTCCTTTCTTCCTTTGTCTCCTTCCCTACCTCTCTCCTTTTCTTTCCTCTTTCTTTCTTTCTTCCCCAGTGCTGGGGATCGAATTAATGGTCTTTTACCACTGTGCTACATCCCCAGCCCTTTTTATATTTTTGAGACAGGGTCTTGCTAAGTTGCCCAGTCTGGCTTGGAACTTGCACTCCTTCTGCCTCCACCTCTGGAATAGAAGGGATTATAAGCATACACACTAGGCCTGGCTGATGTGCTCTTTACTCGTACTGAATTGATTTTGGTCTGGCCATATTCTGTATCTTTTTGTTCTTTTTGTAGGAATTAGCATGTAAGATGGCTCTGGAACTTCTCACCCAAGAGTTTGGCATTCCAGTTGATAGACTCTACGTTACTTACTTTGGAGGGGATGAAGCAGCTGGTTTAGAACCAGATCTGGAGTGTAAACAGATCTGGCAAAATTTGGGGTAAGAATGGAACTGACTTACTAAGATTATAGAGGAAGAAAGTGATGCTAAGCCAGTGCTAGAGTCTTCTGATGAGTTGGAATCCGTTACCATTTCTCATTTTGGGGTGTCATTTTGAGATGTAGTCAAGAGTGACTGAGAATTTTTTTTGATTTGGTGGTGCTCAGGATTGAACGCAGGGCCTCACACATGCTAGGTATGTGCTCTTTCACTCAGCTATACCCCCAGCCCCAGGAATAATCATCTCTTCATGTACTCATTGCTTTTTGTATGTTTGATCGTGTTGCTGAAAGTGAATACAGTGTACTCGCGTTCTCTCTCTTTTATATGTATATTTTTATTGGGTATACGTTTTCAAAACATAATAATTGCATTCATTTTGGGGAATTGGTATGCATATGTACTGTATCTAGATCATTTTCAATCCCCTGTCCCCCACTTCTCCCTTCTTCCCCTACTCCCTTTCTCCACTTACAAAATCTGCCTCTGTGTTTCTTACCATCGCTCCTTTATTTTATTCTTTAATTATATTTTGGGTTTCTCATATAAGAAACCATATGAGGCCTGGGGATTTGGCTCAGTAGTTCTGCCGCCTACCTTGCAAGTGCAAGGGCCTGAGTTGATCCCCGGTACCGGGGGAAAAAAAAAGATATTTTATTTCCTGTTTCTGGCTTATTTACTTAACATTAAAGTCTCAAGAACTATCCATTTTCCTGCACATGACTCAAATTTATCCTTCTTATTGGTGAATAATTCTCCATTGTGTATTATACCACATTTTCTTTCTTTTTTTGTGAGAAAAGGTCTCCCTATGTTATGCTTTGGGACCATGTGTGCAGCCTCTTAGCACCTCTGTCAGTGTCATCTGCCAGGATGGGTCTTGTCTCACTTGACCTTATGGCTTCCCTTGGAAGCTTGGGAGATATATCCCTCTTTGGCGACCCTCCTTTTTCCGCAGTGTACATTGGTGGACTCATGCCAGTGTGCTACCATGCCTGACCTGATGTTTATGTCTTGTTTGTTGTTTTGTTCTTGTTGCGGTAGTGGGGATCAAACTCAGGACCTTGTGCTGCGAGGCAGGCAGCAGAACCACTGAGCTAAATCTTTACCCCGCCTGATATATATGTATTTTTGAAAGTTGTGTATTTAGGGCTAGCGAATATAACTTAGTGTTACAGTGTTTGCCTAGCATTCCTGAGGCCCTGGGTTGAATCCGCAATACCAGGAAAAAAAAAAATCACATAGCTAACCCACGTTATAAAAATTAAAATTGTAAAAAATTCTGAATTGCCTAGAAATGTAGTAAATAGGAAGTGGACGCTCCCTAAGATTAATTGTTGTTAATAGTGTGGTGTTCCATGTATAGTCTTCTCAGTCTTTTTCCTACTTTTGTATCCTTCTGTGTATATGTTTGTCTTTTTCAACAGAGTACTAATGTAATGACATCAAACAGAAGAGGAAAAAGGAAGTTTTACTTTAATATAACTCTGAGGAATTAAAAGCTAGGTGTGGTAGTACATGCCTGTAATCCTAGCCCTCAGGAGGCTGAGGCAGGAGGATTGCCATGACTTTGAAGTCAGTCTAGACTATATAGTGAGTTCAAGACCACCCTGAACTGCATTGTGAGACACTGTCTCAAAAAAAAAAACAAAAAAAAGGGCCAGGGATTTAGGTCAGTGGCACTGCACCTGCTCAAAGTCCTGAGTTTGATTCCTGATACGGGGGGTACCTGGTTCTTTTTCCTTGCACTCCTCCTTACAAACCTGGTTTTCTAAATCTTTTTTATTAGCAAAGTCAAATTTTTGGAGGGCTGGGGATGTAGCTCACCTGTGCAGCACCTACCTGGCCAGCACAAGGCCCTGGGTTTGATTCCTAGTACCAAAAAAGAAAAGTGGGGGAAAAAAAGACCTCAAAAAAGCCCCTTCAAAGTTTTTTTTTGGAAATGTTTTAATTTTAGTAAATTCTTTTTGTGGAGCTGTGATTGTAGCTCAGTGAGAGGGCATGTGCTTAGTGTGCAAGAGGGCCTGGGTATGATCCCCAGCACCACATGAAAAAGAAAAAAAACCTTGCTCACATACTTGCAGGAATTACATTAATCTATTCTTTTTTTTTTTTTTTTTTGGTACCGGGGATCAAACTCAGGTCCTCGTGCTTGCAATGCAGGTGGCAGAACCACTGAGCTAAATCCCTGGCCCCCATTAATCCATTCTTGAGGGATTATGGCTAAGACTGACCTGCCACCTTTCAGTATATCACCAGTCCTTTTCATTTTATTTTATTTTTTGTTTGTTTGTTTGTCTCATTTTTGAAACAGGTCTCACTATGTAGTTCAGGCTGGCCTCCAACTCACAGCGATCTTCTTGCCTCATCCTCCTGAGTGCTGGGATTACAAATGTGTGCCACTGTGCCCAGCCAGCTCTTTTTAATTTTGAGACAGAGTCTTGCTAAATTGCTAGGTTGCCCAGGCTCAAACTTACTATTTTCCTGCCTTAGTCTTCCAGATGATGTGATTACATGTGCATGCCACCTTGCCTGGCCGGCAATTAAACTTCAATGTGGGTTTGGGTGGAAACACTGCATGTAAACATAACAGTCATTTTGAAAAATGAATGTTTCTTTTAAAAAAAAAAAAAAAAAGGAATGTTTCTAGAGAAAACATTTGCTTAAATTCTGGTTTTATTTTTCCAGTACTGGGGATTCAACTTGGGGAGTACTAAGCTATATCCTCAGCCCTTTTTATTTGAGACATGGTCTTGCTAAATTGCCCAGTCTGGCCTCAAACATGCAATACTCCTGCCTCAGCCTCTCAAGTAGCTGGGACTACATTTGTGTGCCACCATACCAGCTTTTTTGTATATTTTTATTGAGTTACAATCATAGCATATTATTTCCTGTTATAGTGTAATAACACTTGAAAAGAGGTATGCTGTGCCCTTTAGTAAGGTTTGTATTCAGGCTCTGTGCCCTTTAGTAAGGTTTGTATACAGGCTCAGTGTTAGGAATAGGCAGAATGGGCCTTTACTGGAAATACAAGATCTCTTTTGTGGTGGAAGCAAGGCTGGGCAGAGTTCTTTTTTCAGGGAGAGGGGGTACCGGGGTTCGAACTCAGGTCCTTGGGCTTGTGAGGCAGGTGGTAGAACCACTGAGCTAAATCCCCGGCCCCTTGGGCAGAGTTCTAATGAGTGGCTCTAACTGGGTTTACCTTGTCTGCTCCATGCAGGCTGGATGATAGCAGAATCCTCCCCGGCAACATGAAGGATAACTTCTGGGAGATGGGTGACACCGGCCCATGTGGTCCCTGCAGCGAGATTCACTATGACCGGATCGGTGGCCGGGATGCTGCGCACCTTGTCAACCAGGATGATCCCAATGTGCTCGAGATCTGGAACCTTGTGTTCATCCAGTATAACAGGTAGTGAGGCCCTTCTCTGTCCTGTGAAGAACAGCACCTTTCTCTGAGCCAAGCTCCTGTTTGGTGGCTTTCAGAGCCTCATCCTTGGGGACGTGGAGCAGGTGATTCAGGGATCCTGAAGAGGTATCCTGGGATCTGTGGCAATTTTTAAGATTTTATTCTTAAGTTTCCCTGATGATCTTTGCAAAACAGGGGTAGGCCTATTCTTTTATAAACTAGTTATTCCATGTAATGCCTTTTTTGGGGGAGGGGTCCTGAGGATTGAACCCAGCACTTCCTGCTAGGCAAGTGTGCTCTACCACTGAGCTACACCCAAACCCCACGTAGTACCTTCCTGAAGGCTAATCCATAATGTCATTCCTGATGAAATTTGGGTTGCTGTTTTATAGCTCATTTCTTTGAAAATTGCCTTTCTTTTGTCTGGAGGTGGTAGTGGTCTTGGATTTGAGAGAAGGTCTCACTGTGTGGTCCAGGCTGGCCTTGAATTCATTATGTAGACCATTTGTAGTCTGGCTTCAAACTTGTGATCCTTGTGCCTCAGCCCCCTGATTGCTGGGATCACAGGCATGTGCCACCATGTCCACCTTTGCCTCACTTAAATGGGCCCTAGAGCATTTCGCTTTCCTTTGTCTCTGCCCTTCATTCTCATGAAACCAGACAGAGGCAGAGTAAACAAACATCATTGCCTGCAAGTTATGCTTCTAACTAGCATGTCTGGAGAGGTGGTAGGCTGATCTCTGCTTCAACTTCCTCTTCCTCTTCATCACACAGGGAGACTGACAGCACCTTAAAACCTCTTCCCAAGAAAAGCATTGACACAGGGATGGGCCTGGAGCGACTGGTGTCCGTGCTGCAGAATAAGATGTCCAACTACGACACCGACCTTTTTGTTCCCTACTTCGAAGCCATTCAGAAGGTACTGGTCCTACTGCAAACACTGAAACTTCTGTGAGGTTTCCAGGCTGGACTTGTAGCAGTGCTCTGAAAGATAAATGCCCATTTGCTTTGCCAGCCCAAGGTACCTGTTAGCATCTGCTGGCTTCTTTGCCAGTAGCATGAGGCTCCAGGCACGTGGCAGTAGTTTTTTGTGTGGCGGGCTACGTGGAGGCTCTTTGCTCCCCCTGCTCTCACCTGTTTGGGGTTACAGGATCTGGCAAGATGGGCACCCCTTCTCCTTAGTGGTCCTCAGTCCTGTGGAACATCTTGGCAAGGCAGCAGTGGAAGGCTGTCTCCTCACAGGCCACCTTCTGGGTTTCGCCTGTAGGGCACAGGTGCCCGTCCTTATACTGGGAAAGTCGGTGCTGAGGATGCGGATGGGATTGACATGGCCTACAGAGTACTGGCTGACCACGCTCGGACCATCACCGTGGCACTGGCCGACGGTGGCCGGCCTGACAACACAGGGCGGGGGTGAGTGTATTGCACTGGACGGTGTTGGGCCAGACACCATGAATAGGGATTGAACCAGGGCTTTTGGACTGACCTACAACCCCAGCCCTTTTCTTTTCTTTTCTTTCTTTCTTTGTTTACTTATTTATTTAGGAGACAGGGTCTCAGTGAGGTGTCCAGGCTGGAAAATCCTCCTGCCTTAGCCTCCCAGTGTGTGATTAGAAACTTGTGCTACATGCTTGGTTTTATGACTCTTTTTGGAATTTAAAGTCATATTTTTATTATTTCCTTTATCCTGTGTAGGAGGGGCAGAGGGAATCTTTTTTTTTTTAAGGGGTAAGAGGGTTTTCACTCATGTTAGAAAGATGCCATTTACAAGAGTAGGTCGTCTCTGCTAAGTAAAGATAATAAGGATTGTATTTCGGTTTGCCTGGTAAGACTGTCAGGGTCAGGGTGGCTGTGAGTATTGACTAGCCCTAGGAACCTCCATACTGACAAACAGGAGGTCCTGGGACTACATGTATCGAGTCTGCATCTGATCTGTCCTTGCCTCTCTCTGGGTAGCTAAACAGAAGGGTAACAGACGGGTTACTCTAGGTAATCCTTGACGTGTAGTTTTGGGGATGTGCCTGAGTTTATGCAGGAATTAACCTTAGTGACCTTGGGGAATACAAGAAGAAGCGGGCTTAGCTTGTGAGAAAGCCTGCAAGAGTATGATGGAAAGTTGGTCATGTTGTTCTGTGTAGAAGTTAGGACACAACCCTCAGCCCGGCGTGTTGTCTAGCAGGGCACTAAGTTCTGCATCTTACAGATATGTGCTGCGACGGATTCTCCGCCGGGCTGTCCGGTACTCCCACGAGAAGCTCAACGCCAGCAGGGGTTTCTTCGCCACGTTAGTTGACGTTGTTGTCCAGTCCCTGGTGAGTCTGTCTCCCTCTCACCTCCTCTGGCTGAAGCCCCACTGGGGAGAGGGTGCTATTAACAGGCTTTCTAAAGAGGGATCAGGTGATAGTCTCTGGAGTCATTGAGTCCCCTTTTGTCAGGGAGATGCATTTCCCGAGCTAAAGAAGGACCCAGACTTGGTGAAGGACATTATTAATGAAGAGGAAGTGCAGTTCCTCAAGACTCTCAGCAGAGGACGTCGCATCCTGGACCGGAAAATTCAGAGCCTGGGAGATTGCAAGACCATTCCGGGTAAGGCCCAGTTTGTGTCTTTCTCCACCCAGGCTGTGGTGTCTTTCTGGGACTGGCAGAGACTGTGGTGGGCACCCATGTCTTTGGAAGTGGAGTAGAGTGTGATTAGAGGGCTCCTCAACAGTATAAAATGGAATTTAGAGAATGATGAAAGCAATTTGTTATTGTAGTAAAATATTATTTTACATAAGTAAAAAGTGAAAGTCCTTTCACACGCTCATCCTGAGGTAACAACTTTTTTTTTACATATTTTTTTTCTGAGGTAACAAATCTTGAGGAGTTTGGTATATAAATAGGCAGGATTTGGCCAGGCATTTAGCTCAGTGGTTCTGCTGCCTGCCTTGCTAGTGCAAGGTCCCAAGTTTGATACCTGGTACCAAAAAAAAAAAAAAAAAAAGGCAGGATTTTTTTTCTCTGTATGCATGTAACTATGTATACTTTTGTGTGTCTGTGAGTATACTTTTCAAGCAAAAATGGGAACATTGGAGCCAGGTGTGGTGGTGCACACCTATAATCCCAGTACTTGGAAGGCTGAGGCAGGCAGATGGCCTGGAGTTCGAAGCCAGACTGGACTACATAGTGGGTTCAAGGCCAGGCCGTACTATATTACAAGACCCTGTCTCAAAAAAAAAAAAGGAAACGTTGGATATATACTATTTTGTAACTTGCTTTATTATTTACCAGATGGGAAAATTCCAAAGATTTTATTTCTTTGTATTGAAGTATAAAGAGAAAGTCTAATTGAATTTTCTCAAACTAGTCAGTGTTCAGATCAAGCAGTAGAACTTTACCAGAAGACCCCTCGTGCTTCCTGTAGCTCCATTCTAGATTCGGTGGATATTCTGACAGACCCACAGGGCTGGTCCTGACTTGCCGTGGCTCCGATCCCTTCTGTCACTCTCAGCAGCCTCCTGGAGGGCTGGGCATGGAAAGGAAAGGGGCCGGCCATGTTAGCTTGACACTCCTTCATGCCATGTAGGCGACACTGCATGGCTACTCTATGACACCTACGGGTTCCCGGTGGACCTCACTGGACTGATTGCTGAAGAGAAGGGCCTGGTGGTCGATATGAATGGCTTCGAAGAAGAGCGGAAACTGGCCCAGGTAGGGTGAGCCAGAAGCCCAACAACCACCCAGGCATGACTTGGCCACAGAGCAAGCACAGCTTCCCTTCCATTAAAGGCTTTGAAATTCTTTTCTCCCTAGATGATTGGATCTCAAATGGGATGATTCTCTCCCCAGGGTACATTAGGCAATAATGGCCAGAGATGTTTTTGGTTTTTTTATAAGTAGGGGCAAGATACTCTTGTCATCTTGTCCATGGAATCTGGGGTGCTGTTCACCACCCCACAATGCAGACAGACAGCAGACAACAAAGAATGCCATGGCCCAGTCTCTCAGTGGTGCCCAGGTTGAAAGTGACATGCTAGAGCTTTACCTTGGGCATAGTTTAGCAATCTCAAATTCTTTTAAGTTCATGTTCCCCTCCTGGTTTAAGGTAACCAATGCTCATTTCTCTATGGCAGCTGAAGTCACAGGGCAAGGGGGCTGGTGGTGAAGACCTCATTATGCTGGACATCTACGCTATCGAAGAGCTGCGGGCAAAGGGCCTGGAGGCCACAGACGACTTCCCGAAGTATGACTACCACTCAGACCCCAGTGGTGGCTATGGTACGTTGCTGGGCTCCATCCTCTTTTGAGCTGCCTCTACCTTGTCTGGGGGGCTTTTGAGAGACTAGTCTGAAGGTTAGGGGCCCTGCAGATCTCAGCCTCTCCTGTAGTGCTACACAGTCATGCTGAGCACTTTTATTTTCACAGCACCCCTGGCTAATAGTTTTTCTAAATATTTATTTTAAAATAATTATAGGAAACTGTAAAAAAAAAAAAGGAAAAAATTGTAAGGTGGTTCCGTGTACCCTTCCCCAGTTTCCTATAATTGTAACACCTTAGAGACCAGGCAGTTGACCTTGAAACAATACACGGTGGCTACTGTTTTGTTGAGATAGGGTCTTGCTAGAAATTTGGGTCATCCTGCCTCAGCCTCCCAAGAAGGGAGTTAAGCTGGGATTGCAGGTCTGTGTCACCATGCTTGGTCCACAGTGGCTGTTGAATTTTACATCAGTATAACAACATTCTAAAGTTAGAAAACTTCTGGATGTAGTGGCGCACACCTGTAATCCCAGCACTCTGAGAGGCTGAAGCAGGAGGGTCACCATGAGTTGAAGGCCACCCTGGGCTACATAGTGAGACTCTGCCTCAACTCTCCCTCCACAAATAAGTAAAATTAAGAAACCAAAGAAATTAGTAAATAATACATGGTTTTGTTTTTCTGCTCTGGTAGAGAGCAATCTTATACCAAAACCTGTCAAAGCAAGCACACAAATTGAATACATTGTTCGTAATTTGCCCTTCGGTTAAGGGGTTTATTACTACACTTAAAGAGTGACTCAGATTTATCAAATTTTTATTTAGTGTCTGAGAGTTAACTGTGCTATTTGTTCAGAACTGTCCCATTGTTAACACAGAAAGCTTGCACCTCAGGAAACCGGTCAGTCTTAGGAAATTGGACAATCATTCACCTCACTGAGTGTTTCATTCTCTATCGGAAAAACCATTGTGCTAGTTCTTTCTTGGAATCTAATTGGCTTGCTTGTAAAATAAAATTAGAAGCTGAGCATGGTGATGCACACCTGTAATCCTAACACTTGGGAGGCAGGGACTTGCCTCAAGTTCAAGCCCAGCCTCGGCTACATAGTGAGGTAAAGCCCACACTGAACCACATATTCACAGACATACAAAAACCACTCTCTCTCTCTCTCCTTCTCTCTCTCTCTCTCTCTCTCTCTCCGTCTCTCCCTCGCTCGCCTTCTCAAACACACAAAAGAAAAGCAAAATAGAATTAGATAATTAGGACCTACGAAACACTTGAGAAATAGAGCTTGGGTGTAGCTCAGTGGTAGATTGATTGATCAGCATGTGCAAAGGCCCAGGGTTTGATCTCCTGCACCACAAAAGAAGAAAAGAAAAAACGGTGAGCAAAGTCATTGACCCTGCCTTTCCCATATGCCTCTCCACCGGGCAGTGTTTGAGAGTGCAGTGGCCACAGTGCTGGCTCTGCGGAGGGAGAAGATGTTTGTGGAAGAGGTGTCCACAGGCCAGGAGTGCGGAGTGGTGTTGGACAAGACTTGTTTCTATGCCGAGCAAGGGGGCCAGATCTACGACGAAGGCTACCTGGTGAAGGTGGACGACAGCAGCGAGGATGTAAGCCAGCAGCTCTTCCTTGTTAACCGGGAGGGGCAGGTGTGGAGCGGCTGTCAGCATTCTGGGCCTCGGGGAGCAGGCCTCGGGGAGCAGGCCCCGCGCACCATTGTCACTGTCTCTGCAGCTCGCTAGCTGCTTCTTGAACCTGTTGCTTTCTCGCCCACTGGTCCCTGGTAGGAAGTCTCTTGCAGCCAGGTGGTCTTCAGTTCGTGTTTTCTAAATACAGAGGCAGCTCTCTAAGGGGTGGCCCTCTTTATAGGAAACAGCTTGTGGCTCTGCCTCTGCTGAGTTTGGTCTGGAGTCACTTGGCTTCCTTAGGTGTCTGGTTCCTTACAGTGGCTTTCCAGTTCCCTAAGATGTGTGTGTGTTTAACTTACATATAAAACAGTATTAGGGGCATATGTGTGTGTATATACATCGTTAAAGATATCTTAGGGGATTTTGCTCATTGGCCCTCCATCTGTCTTGCAAGTGCAAGGTCATGAGTTCAAATGTGTGTGTGTGTGATTACATATGTAGAAGGATAATTTTTCTTTTCTTTTCCTGTGTTGGAGATGGAAGCCAGGACTTTGTGTATGCTAGGCAAGTGCTGTAGCTCTGATCTGCACCCCTCCGTTCCTAAAGGGAGAATTTTTTTATGTATGAATTTATATAGAGAGAATTAATATTTTCTGGAAATTAATTTTTAGCCTTCTGATTGACTCTAGAAAACTGAGTTCACAGTGAAGAACACTCAGGTGCGAGGAGGGTATGTGCTGCACATAGGAACCATCTACGGCACTCTGAAAGTGGGTGATCAGGTCCGGCTGTTTATTGATGAGGTGAGTCGGGTAGTTATCACCACCTGTATAAGTCAGCTTTTCATCTCTGGGACCAGATACCTGACATGTGCAGCATCAAGAGAAAAATTTTATTTGACTCAGGGTTTCAGTCCATTGTTGTCGGGCTCCAAAACAGAAATCGTATGGCACAAGGGGGTGGTGTACGAGAGCTGCTCAACCCACGGCAGCCAGGAAACAGGAAGGAGAGGAGGGGGCGACCCCAGTGACCTTCTTCCTCCAGGCAGGCCTTACCGCTAACAGCGCCTCCAGCAGTGGGTTCCATTGATGAGGTTAGCAGCCATGATCTGGTTACCTCCCAAAGGCCCCATCTTCTCAGCCTTTTGAGGGGGACATTTTTCTTTTCTTTTTTTCTTTGTGGGGTACCAGGGATCGAACTCAGGACCTTGTGCTTGCAAGGTACGCAGCAGAACCACTGAGCTAATTCCCTGGTCCCTTTTTTTTTTTTTTTTTTTACTTT